ATTTTTCTCGTTTCTTACATGGCTTAAGTTTCCTTTTATTCCTTGCTTCTCTTCTATAAATTTGGAAGTTCAATTAATTCTTCCCATCTGCTAGTCACTCATATCAAATCATTATGATAATCTTTATGGTTATCTTAATTATCTTTAATTAACTTCAGTTATCATATTTAAAATTATATAAGTTTATTAAATATCAAAAAATACCCCAAATATATAACTATGCTCACTTTCACTTTGATGTTTTATTTGTCTACTTCTTCTCATCATTCACAAAGATGAGACTTTAGGAATGCCATCCCTACTATCCTAAATACTGGATTTTACTGAGGTTATTCAGAGTTTTAAGTTTTTGCCATTACATTTTTTTAATACATACATATTGTTTCATGATACTTGTTTATTACTTATTTATAATTCCCAGTGACATTATTGCCATGACTTCAAAAAATATTTTGTTTAAAAAATATTTTATTTTTGAACAGGTAATATATCTAGTAGTTTACAAAATCAAAACCACATAAAATCTTTGAGAAGTCATGTTATTACCTTGTTCCCCACCATCTTATTTTCCCTAGGTCTTCTACAGGTAACAAGGAATCCTTGTGGATATGTCTAGTGTTGTTTATCCAAATATACATTCTTTTTTATTACTCTTTCTTATATAAAATGTGTCATAATATGCCTTGCTTTTTCCAAGGTCCATGAGATAGTTCCTTGTTAGTATAAAGAGCTTTCTCATTTTTTTCCCCATATGTGTATGGTATTCTTTTATGTGGATTAACCAAATTTACTTTAATCAGCCCCTCAGTGCTGGACATTAGAGTGTTTTTCTAATCATTTGCTAGTATCAAATGATGCTACAATGAATAACCTTACTGTGATACCATTTCCTTTTTCAGTGGTATGTCTTTAGGACGGATACTTAGAAATGAGATCAGAAGAATAAAGGGAAATACATTTATAATTTGTATTGCCAGATTCTTCCCTACATGGACTATATCATTTTACTTTCATACCACTAAAAAGACTGCTATGGGGAAAGTCTTTTTGACCTTGATACAAAATTCAGAAGCAATTTAAAAAAATTTATTAATCAGCTACATCAAAATACAAAAAGTCTGAATGGCAAAAAATACAGTAAGTAGATAAAAAGAAAAATGTCAAACTAGGGAAAATAATTAAAACTCATACCAAAGTTAAAGGGCTAAGAAAAAAAAAGTGAGGGGGAGAAAAGGGATAAAAACTTAATAGAAAAAAATAATGGGAAAAGGATATTATCAGATGTTTATTCATAGGAAAGGATGCACAGCCTTGCCTAGATGGCTCAAACCTTAAAATTATCAAGTCCATTTATGACAAACCCACAGCCAGTATCATACTAAATGGGGAAAAACTGAAACCATTCCCACTTCAAACCAAATCTAGACAAGGATGCTCACTAGCATTCACGTGGGGGCAGATGAGATCAAACTCTCGCTCTTTGCAGATGATATGAAATTATATTTAGAAAACCCCAAGGAATTGTCCAAGCGTCTCCTAGATTTGATAAATGAATTCAGTAAAGTCTCAGGTTACAAAATCAATACACACAAATCAGAGGCATTCATATACACCAATAACAGTCAAGCCAGAACTCAAATCAAAAACATAATACCTTTTACTATAGCCCCAAAGAAAATTTAATATCTAGAAATATATTTAACGAAAGATGTGAGGGACATATACAAGGAGAACTATGAAACACTAAAAAAAGAAATTGTAGAAGATGTAAACAGATGGAAAAATCTACTTGCTCATGGACTGGTAGAATCAATATTGTTAAAATGTCAGTATTACCTAAAGTGATCTACAGAATTAATGCAATCCCCATCAAAGTACCATCATCCTTTACAGATTTAGAAAAAATAATTCTCCACTTTGTATGGAATCAGAAAAGACCTCATATAGCCAAAGCAATCTTAAGTAAAAAGAACAAATTGGGAGGTATCAGTCCACCAGACTTCAAGCTATACTACAAAGCTATAATAATTAAAACAGCTTTGTATTGGCACAAGAACAGAGACATTGATCTTTGGAACAGGACTTAGATTCCAGAGATGAAACCATCTGCATATGGTAATATAATCTTTAATAAAGCAGACAAAAATATACATTGGGGAAAAGAATCTCTTTGCAATAAATGGTGCTGGGAAAACTGGATAGCTACATGCTGAAGAATGAATCTGGATCCCTACCTCTCATCTCTCACAAAAATCCACTCAAGATGGATAACAGACTTAAACCTAAGGCATGAAAGCTTAAGAATTCTAGAAGAAAATGTTGGAAAGACCCTTTCAGACCCTTTTGGCCTAGGCAAAGAATTTTTGAAGAAGGCCACCAAAGCAATCACCGCAACAAAAATAAATAAATTGGATCTGATCAAATTAAAAAGCTTTTGCATAGCCAAAGAAATTATCTTTAGAGCGAATAGACAGCCTACAGAATGGGAGAAAATATTTGCTCTCTACACATCCCATAAAAGGCTGATAATAAGAATCTATCTAGAACTTAAAACAAGCAACAAGAAAAAAATCAAACAACCCCATCAAGAAATGAGCAATGGAAATGAACAGAAAATTTTCAAAAGAAGAGAGAATAATGGCCAGTAAACATATAAAAAAAATGCTCAACATCTCTAATCATTAGAGAAATGCAAATCAAAACCACAATGAGATATCACCTAACCCCAGTGAAATTGGCCTCTATCAAAAAAATCCCCAAACAACAAATGCTGGCTAGGATGTGGAGAGACAGGAACACTCTTACACTGCTGGTGGGATTGCAAATTAGTGCAACCTCTGTGGAAAAGAATTTGGAGATACCTCAAAGAGCTAAAAATAGAAATACCATTTGATCCAGCAATAATAGCACTATTAGGCATCTATCCAAAAGAGCAAAAGACATTCTATAATAAATACATCTGCACCCGAATGTTTATGGCAGCATAATTCACTATTGCACGGATGTGGAAACAACCCAAGTGTCCATCAATTCATGAGTGGATTATTAAAATTTGGTATATATGTACGATGAAATATTACTCAATTATAAGAAATGACAGTGATCTAGCACCGCTTATATTTTCCACTGCTTATATTTGATTGAGCTTTAGCCCATTATCCGAAGTGAGGTGACACAAAAGTGGAAGAATGGGGTCCACATGTACTCGCCATCAATTGGTACTGATGGATTAACAGTATGGTACTCTTATAGTGGTAGTGTTCTCCAGGGATTAGGGTGTTGAGGGGGGTAGACTCACAACTGAGGGATGTGGTGAGCATTGTGGAGGGGAAGGGCACACCTCTAACCCTTGCTAGGGAGAGGCAAAGATATAAAATGTAACACAATATGTATATATATATATATACACATATATATATATTTATGTCCTAGTAAAATGCATGGGAAAAACACACTCTGACTTTTAGAAAGAAGAAAAAGATAAAAATTTAGGGTAGGGCTTTAAGCTATACCTCAAACACTATTCTTTTAAAAATGTTTATGTTTTAAAATATAGATTATGGGTATACAGGTATCTTATTTTCTATAATTTTATTTGTGTTTGAAATATTATATAATTTTTAGATATCAGAAATATAAAACCTATAAAAAGTTGTATTAGAAAATATTGTATATTTATTTTCAGGGAAAAGGATAATCTTCAAATTTGTAAGAAACAGAATTAACCACAAAGAGTGGGAAATCAGCTAAAACTCTCAAATATCCCCAAATTCTATTAATTGAATTCAAAAACTTTAAAAAATGGCTTAGAAAAAAATATCTTCAGCAAATAGGACTAAATGCTAGCATATTTCTGTAAGAAGGCATATAATCTGACCAGGAAATTCTGACAATAGGTAAAGGAAATGAATAAAAACTAAAATATAGCCAATTAAAATAGTACTTTAAAATTAACATTGAAACAAAGCACCATTTTATAATTTATTAAAAAAGCAAATGACTGAAAAAGCCCATGCCAGTGAGGGTTTGGTGAATACACAGCTGGTATTTACAAAATTTGGCAGAGAACCTCAGAAAAGCAATCACTATGTAACAAATAAATAAAAAATGTATTTATCCCATTTCTTAAGTTTTTGCTAAGGAACTAATGCCGAAAGAAGAAAAGGCATTATGTCTAGGAAGGCAATCCTTGCAGTATATCATTGCAATATAATTTATAATGTTAATCTGAATGTCCTAACTGCCCGGTAAGAGGACAGTTGTTTATTTGCTGGATATTGAAGTCATATTTAATGACAATCACGAAAACTTCATAACAACAAGGAAATAGTTGATTAGATGTTAAATGAATATAAGGGGAAAATAGGGGAAAAGCAAGCACAGCAATGCAAAATCAAGGTTAGGACTAGGATGAGGACAACTGAGACAATCCCTTGGGAGCCAAATTTGGAGTGGGCCTCATAAAACTCAATAATCAAATACAAAATATTTTAAATAGTCCAAACTAGTGTAAAACGTCTGTGATGGAAAAAATGCAAAATGTTATATAAAAACAGAATCTAATCTTGATTTGCACTATCCTTAGAGTGCCCCACTTGTGTCTCCCTAATCCAGAGCCAAGGATCCTGCCTTTAAGATTTTGACATTTCCTTCATCGACACTGATATTTTTGCATTGATTTTTAACTTTTTAAAAACTAGTGCATTAAAATATTTTCTTGATATTTTAATTAGCACCCCCTCTAGATCTGCACCTCAGGCGAGTGCCTCCACTCACCTCAGTCCTGGCCCCGTGCAATACCATGGTGATAACTATGTGTTAGAGTGACAGCGGTTTTTATTTCTCAGTGTATAAACTTTACGTGTATTTTTAAATCTAAACTAAGAGTCCGGTTCTCCGTGTTCCCTGAGCCTTAGAGCCGCAGCCCAGACTTCCAAAGACGGAGACGAGCGCTGGGACAAGGGTGGTGGGAGGTCGGGGAAACCGCCTTCGGGCCTCACCATGAAGCGCAAGTTAGACGCTCGGGGGTAGACGTTGCTCCGAAGCTCATTGTGGAGGTCCACGTACTCGTTGATAAAGTCTACGTTCTCTTCGTCTGGCAAAAAAGTCGCGTTCAAACCGGAACTCAGCAGCAGTAGCCACAGCTCACAGAGCCACAGCTTCAAAACGCCCCCTAGCGCCAGGGGGAGCGATTGGGAGAAAGGCCTTAGGGCCTCCATCGTCCACCGGCTACGGGCGGGTCAGTGCGCACGCGTGGGCCCGCCCCGATGACCTGCCAATCTACGGGGCGGCGCAGGGGAGCCTTGCCCCCGCCTCCCCGCCTGCCCCGCTCGGGGAGAGAGGAAGAGGATACGCGAGGCTGGAGGAAGAGGGAAGGGGAGGGCGAGGGATAGTGTAGCCCAGTGGAGAAAGCTCTGTGTAAAAATAAAATAAAATAAATGCCGAATTACCTCAAGAGCCTTGAGTTAAATGAATACAAGCTTTTCGTTAATGTAGCTAAATATTATCCAGAATTGATTTCCCACACTGAAGTATGTGTCATTGTTAATTAATGAACCAGTTCTCTGTACAGTCAATGCGAATTGCTGAGTAATTAAAAGACCTGAAGAACTTTCTAATTATGAAAGGGAAAATGAGTATTCTACGATATTGATATAAATTCAGTTAAAAATGTTTTTCATCATTTCTTGAGTTAGGAATTTGGTGCAGGGTGTGCCCTTTTTTTTACTCAGAGAGAATATTCTTAAGGCAGACTTCTTCCTTGAGATTTTTCTGTCAGTTTTTAAATGAACCTTTGTGGGAGGCCACAAAATAAATGAAAGAGTAGAGGGAGAATAGGGATCATTAAACTCTCATGAGGTGAAAATACTTGTTTCTTTTTTCAGCACAATATAGACAGCCTGGAATGTCAGTACTCTTCTTCTTCAGTAACTGTTCACAGTAGGAAATAATTCATTTTCTTGTTTTCATTTTTCTTTTGGACAAAATTGCCTAGTGTTCTAGCAGATTTTGACCTTTTTACCCCAAACATTTTGCTCACAAACAAAACAAATAAACAAATAAAAAAAAAAAAAAACCCTTGCTTTCAAGACTTTAAATTCTAGACATGAAATAAAAGCAAAACATGTTTTGGGGTACACATTTGCATATTACTTATTGTGCTTAATAGCATTATGCAGATATAAAAAAATATCATTGACATTGGGATGGAATTTGGCCACAAAGAAAGCATTATAATTGGTTGGCCAAAAATATCGAAAAAGGAAAAATGCTTTTAAAAATTATCTTTGATGCACAAAATTGAAAAAACAGTAGACCTACATACGATGGTTTCATTCAAGTTTTTATTCTTTTAATACATATTAACAGGCAGAGTATTCAGTGATTGAGAAAGATCAGTAGATGAGACACACAGATCCTGCTTTCAAGCAGTTTACAGTTTAATGAATTAGATTGGGCAAATTTATACCATGTGGTAAATGTTAGGTCGTTAAATCTGAAATTTCCGATTTGGAATTAAAAGTTTATTATATCGCAAACAAGAAGCAGTATAATTAATCAAAGTATGTGCCTAAACTATGGACACAGTTTTGCCATCTTAACAGTATCTTGTTTATGCCAGCAGCAAAGAAGCCTGGAGAGCAGGTGGAGATGGAATCTGAAACGTGTTTTTCGCAGCTTGTTGAGATTTGAATATTTTTCCATGGAAAAAGTGGTCAAAGCCTGAAGAAGTGGTAGTCAGTTGGTGCAAGGTCTGGTGAATATGGTGGATGACAGAGTTTCCAAGTCCAGCCTCTGTAGTTTGAACAGTTGTTTGTGCCACATGTGCTTGAGTGTTGTCTTGCACGAGGATTGGTCTGTCTCTACAGACCAATCTTGGCTGCTTAATCACAAGCATCCTCAGCAGCGTCCAACCAACATCCCGCTGGTTGCAGTAGATATCAGCTGTAATTGATTGACCAGATTTCATAAAGCTGTAGTGGATAATACCAGCGCCAGACCTCCAAACAGACACCACTAGTTTTTATTTTTATGAACATTCAGTTTTGGATTGGGTTTCGGCACTTTGTCTTTATCCAACCATTGTGGCAAATACTTGCAATTATCTAAAAGAATCCATTTTTCCTCACATGTAACAATCCGGTGTCAAAATGGTTTGCCTTTATATTGTGACAGCAAAGAAAGGCAAGCTTGGAGACAATTTCCCTTCTGACACTCATTTAATTCATGCGGAACCCATCTATCCAGCTTCTTTACCTTGCTGATTGGTTTCAAATGGTCCAATTTTGTTGGAGTAGTAATGTCAAACCTCGCTGGGAATTCACGTGTAGATTGAGATGGATTTGCTAATACTACTGCTTTCAGCTCATCATTACCCACATTGGTCTCAGGTTGCCCACATGGCTCATTTTCAAGATACAAATCACCAGAATAGAACTTCTCAAACCATCAATGTATTGTGCAGTCATTAGCCACATCCTTACCAAACACTTCGTTGATATTTCAAGCTGTCTGTGCTGCACTGTTTCCATGATGGACTATATTAAAAAATAACACAAGTTTTTTACTTATCTATGGTTTCACAAAAATTGCTCTAAAAAATTTGAAAGATAATCATAAGCCAAAGCATGCATTTGAAAGAATGAGGATGTACCTTCACAATAAAAAATAAAACAAGAAGTGTCAAAATGAAACGTCAAAGATATCACCTGTCAAACTTAGTACTTAAGGAAATTGGACATTTCATGCTTAATAACCGAGTACAAAGCCAAAATACTGTTGCATTATGGAGGGGAGGATTAGCACTCTTATGGAGGACCAGAGAAGCCTTTCTGAAGAATGCATCATCAAGAAGGTGAAGCAGACAGGTATAAGATAGCATTCTTAACAACGGGAAAAGCACCCTAATATGCTCATGGAGAGGAAGATTATACAGGTTAAAAGTATTTTAATATGGCTAGAGCCTATTGTAAGGGTGAGGATGGCAATTGCTGAATGAGGCAATTCTTTTATGTTAGTACTGTTGTTAGACTATGAAAATTGCTAAAGAAAAAGGATAGAGTAATACGATCTTAGATTTGGAAGAAATTTTAGACACTTTCACTAACCCCCTATATTAGACATACTGTCTGACACATCATTGACAGGTGATCATCATATCCTTTGCTTAAATAATTCCACTAACAGGGAAGTTACCTAATCCTGGGGAAGCTCATTGCATTGGTAGGTATCTCACTCATTAATTCAATAAATATTTCTTTAGTAGCTCTTATGTGTCAAGATCCAATGCTAGGTTCTAGAGTTACAGATTCTGAACAAGCTAGACATGGCATCTATTCACAAGAAACTTTATTTAATGGTGATACAGATGAATCATCAATCACAATACGAAGTAGTGAGTGCTATTTTTGTAACTCCACCGGACCAATCTGGTTCAACTTTTATGTGACAAAGTTCTAAGTTATTTTTCAGTTGCCATAGGCCCTCAAGTTGAAGGTCACATAATCTGAACATGCCTACATTAACTATGTGTGTAGCATGAGGTGGAAACTAAGTGCTATGACTGGACCGAAGAATGGGACTGAATTAAGAAGTAGACACTGCATGGCAAGATCCAGAATCCAATCAGATGGAGCCCTGGAGCCACCCATGGCACTACAGAGACTACTGTTTTTGTTTTGTTTGTTCTTTTGAGACAGAGTCTCACTCTGTTGCCCGGGCTAGAATGCTGTGGTGTCAGCCTAGTTCACAGCAACCTCAAATTCCTGGGCTTAGGTGATGCTCCTGCCTCAGCCTCCAAAGTAGCTGGGGCTTACAGGCATGCGCCACCATGCCTGGCTAATCTTTTACTATTTTTTAGTAGAGACGGGGTCTTGCTCTTGTTCAGGCTGGTCTTGAACTCCGGAGCTCAAACAATCCGCCTGCCTCAGCCTCCTACAGTGCTAGGATTACAGGCGTGAGCCTCTGCACCCAGCCAGAGACTACTGTTTAAACCATCTCTTCACCATCCTTTCCAAGAGGTAAGGGGGTATAAACCTTACCAGCTAAGACTGATAATTCTGATCACCTTATCTCAAAGTGATTAGGCAATTTCTGGAAACTTCAAACAGAGTCTAGAAAGACAAGAGACTCCTCAGGAAAATGCACTGTTCAAATCTTGAATTTGCTGATCTCAGTACTTTGAAAAAGCCAAGTACAGAGCAGTTTGTCTAGCAATTTCAAACTAAGTGAAATAGGAGTGTTACTTAAAGTCACTACTAAGAACACAATCTGTTTAGAGTAAAAGTATTGCAAATGACGGCAAATTTCCCAATATGTCCTGTCAGGAGGCTGTGGTTAGGATCACAAGAAATAAAAGGGACACGTCCTTGGCCCAGAATTCTCTCTTCTTGCCAATGAAGGGAAAGCTCGCTAGTAAGGTGGTGGCACTCCGCCTCCCCAGCCTCTGTTCATAGCTTCAGCATGGACAGAAAATCCTGCAAATAGACTCCATTTTCTAAGAACTGTTACTACCTGAAAGTTCCTGTAGCAGTGCTAATAATATAACATTCTTTGACAAGTACTTCTTTAAGATCAGCAAATATAATTCTGCAAACATATATATATATATTTGTATATGGTCTGTAGAATTTCACTTAATCTGACTTGAGGAAACTTATATGCTCTTAGATGAATAAAGAGTCTGAAGAAGTAAAAGTACAATTATATTAAAAAATCAAAAGATGCTTTAATTATTAATGAAAAAGTTTAATTAAAAATCCAGGAAGGCAGCATGATGATAAACTATATAATACACTAGATAGAAATGTATACTCTATATACATGTGAACTTACCTTTAGTCTATTTCACACTGTAAGTTAGAGAAATGAATTTTAGCAACATAATAGTTAAATAAAGAGCAAAAGCTTACATTACAAAAAAGATAAACTCTGTATACATAGTGCCAAATAGCAGTGTGACAGGTAATGTTATATGTCAATGTGGCTAGACTATGGTGAGCAGTTGTTTAGTCAAAACAACCTAGATGTTGCTGTAAACGTATTTTTGAAATGTATTTAAAATTTATAATCAGGCAACTTTAAGTAGATTACCCTCCTTAACCTAGATAGGCCTCACTCAATCAGTTGAAAGCCTTAAGAACAAAGACCAAATTTTCCTAAAGAAGGAATTCTGCTTCCATTTTGCAACATAGAAATTTTGCCCGAGTTTCCAGCATTTCAACTGAAGACTGCAATATCAACTCTTACTTGAATCTCCATCCTGCCAGCTTGCCCTATGAATTTCCACTTTTTTAGCCCACACAATCCTGTGATTTTTTTTTCTCTCTGCCTGTACCCCTCCCTCTCTCTCTCTTCCCCTCCCTCCCTATTTCCTATTGGGTATGTTTCTCTGGAGAACCTTGACTAATATCAGTGATTTGAAATATAAAACAACTTGGATTCTTTATAAAAATAGCATCAATCACCTAGCTATATGGAAATCTTTAGATATTTGGCAATATATACAAAACAATTTTCAATGTTGTTAAAATTACATTTAAAAATGGTTTTTAACATATACAGCTGAGGGAAGCTAGAGGTTGCCTTAGTTGAGAAGAAAAAGGTCCAGCTAATTTAGTCTACAGGAGTCAACAGTTCAGCAGTTATTATTTTTAAAACTGAACTTATCAAATAATTTTTTTTTGGTCTTAAAACAAAAGAAATGCCAGAATAGAATAATTCTCTGGTTGTGGACACGTCGTTACCCATATTATAGATAATTTTGAATAGCTTTTAATAGGTATACTATTTGGATCCTGTTATTTTATACAGGGTAAGTTTTAAAATAAAATATCCCAAAAGAGCATGATTTTAAATTTTAGAACATATGTTTAACCTTCAAAGATTAAAAATTTAGTTGATTTTTATTTTTGAATTTAATCTGCTGATTTATTACCTAACCATTGATGATTATGACCATAGTGTATAACATTACACACTACCTAAAAACTTTTCTCAGTAATGTTTTGTTTCTGAATGATGTTGATAATATTCTTAAAGGAAACTACTGGCATATAAGGAAACTATATAATATCTGAAATATATTTAGTTCCTTAAATCTACTGTAACTCAAATGACAATCCATTCTCATGAGAAAATTAGAAAATGGGACATTTATGATACATATATAATTTTAATTTTAAAAAATAAAGACTTTATTCTACTGCTTACCCATCTTCCATACTACAATACATCTTTTGAATTACAAACAGACATTAAGTTTAGACACCAAAAAAGAATTTAGAAGATTTAATAGACAGTTAAACTTATAAATTATATTTAGCTGTAAATTGTTCCTTTATTGTCATATTTGAAACTTTCTTTTATATATAAAGGACAATTAAAAGATTTTCATAAGAATAAAAGCTAGGCAGAATGAATTAAAGGCTATCTCCTGAGGTGCTTTCCCAATCAGAAGTGGATTTTCTGTTAATAAAACAAAACAGTTAAGAGCACAATTTAGTTTCAAGGGTAGGAAATAATAGACTCAATAGTAAAATATTTAGATAGGTACTATCAGTTATAATAATTTTTCAAATCCATAAATAGAAAAAATTTAATACTATAAAAAGAAAAGCATTCATTTGCTTTTCTGAATTTTAGAATAAGACAATCCAATTAGGAAAATTAGCTTGACTTTCTAACTTAAGAAAAATGAAAGCATTCTACCCAATCCTATATTACTTAAAAACCTTTATAATGCTCCCTACCAACAATGTCATGTCAACAAATATTTTTAGAACACCTCTTGTGTGGAAGGCTCAATATATAAAAAATAAATAAAACTATAAAGTAGTTAACTTTATTTCTGGCACTCTATCATGCCCAATTTAAGTCCCAGAACAAACATAATTTCTTCATGCTGAGTTTCATGTACCAAGAACCCTCCACTAACAATTACATTCATTTCTGAAATAGTCTTTGCTCCAAATATTGGTCCATATCTTTCCACATCAAAATTTTTCTCCCCAGTTTGCTGTTCTAATAGGCTCTTGCACTTTGTTAATAATTCATTTGCTTTTCAACAATTCATTTATTTGAGTTTCTACTAGATATTTAGCATAATTCTAGGCTTTAGGTATAATGGCTATCAGGCAAAAGTAAAGTCCCTTTCATTGTAGGAAAGTGAGAGGGGAATTTTTGTCACCAATTTTAGAACTGAATAAATAAAATGAATAAAATGATAATTTCAGAAAGTGATAAATGCTATGAAAAATATACACTGGGTTAAATGCTAGAAAATAATGAGAAACTTAATTATAATAATATCTAAAATATCTTGAGAACTTACTTTGGAGCTTAAATAACTTTGTAATAATTCATCACAATTAATCCTCTTAATCACCTTTGAGTTAAGCCATCTGACTCCAAGGCCTACATAGTTACCATTATGCTATACCTCTTGTCTCTCAAAAAAAGAAGTCGCCTAAGCTAAAACTCGGTTTTTTATAAAGACTGACTAACAAAAAATAGAAAACACAAATCCAGATTCATAGGATGAAAATGAAACACAGTTGTACCTCATTCCTTTCTGCTATATGGCTTGAGAGGAAAAATAATCAGTGAAGAAAGGAAGGATTGTCTGAGTTTAAATATAGTGATTTATGACAAACGATTTATATAATCAGCAGCAATCAAATCTTGCCCATAAATTATATACTTGTGAAGCCAAATTTAAAAATACAATGGATTTGTGAAAACTTTTCTCTCCCAATAGAATGTCATGATTATTTTTTTCCTTTTGCTTACGGCAGAGCTTCTCTACACATTTCTCTTCCTTCGTACACAGAGAGCAAGGTTCTCCTGTCGTATAAGGGCGAGAATTTAAATAATTTCCTCTGCAAAAAAGAGAGACATCGATTAGACAAATGACTATTAATTTCTTTAATTTAGTGCATGCATTTCTGCAAGTTGTTCTGCTCATTCACTAAGTCATGAATGTTGAAAAGGAAAAATAACTTTGTTCTAATTTTATGCTCATTTCTTTTGTAGAAAGAAACTATTAAAACTGTTATTTACAGGATATCCCTAAATCACATGGCAGTTATATTCTTGAATATTCTATACAACACAAATTAGATGGGAACCTAATATAATTATGGTGTGATAGCCATAATGTTTTTAGTCATAGATACTATGATTATTTTTTCATTTTGTAAAATTTAAATTGCAAATGAAAACATGTACTTTATGATTTAACTTAAAAGTACAATACAATAGTTTTATCTAGTTCCATTTGATGATATTATAGAAAATAACAATTTGACAGCTATTATGTCTGCTTTTCAATAATATAAGCCAATATATTTTAACAAACCTCTTTTTTTTCATTTTTGTGTCTGTGAAAGACTAGGTAAGTTTTACTTACATAGAGTAGTAAAGAAAATGTAATAATATGAGTAGTATTCCATTAAAGAATATGCCACAATTTATTTATCTATTCATCTGTTGACGGTCATTTGAGTTGTTCAAGTTTTTGGCTACTAGAAATAAAGTTACTCTGAACATTTTGAACATTCATGTATAAATTCTCATATGGACACAGACCTAACAGTGTGTGAAAATTCCAGGTCCTTCACATTGTGTTTGGCACTTAGAATGGCCAGTCTTTAGTCATTCTAATAGTTGTGTAGTGGTATTTATTGTGGCTTTAATTTGTATTTCCCTAATGACTAATGATATTGAGAATTTTTTCATGTGCTTATTTGTCACTCATATATTTTCCTTTTCAATCTTTTGGCCATTATTAAAATTGAGTTTTAAATCTTCTTAATATCGAGTTATGAGAGTTCTTCCTATGTTCTCAGTGTAAGTCCTTTATTTGATATATGTTTTGCAGACTTTCTTCCACTATGTGGCTTGTCTTTTCATTCTCATTACAGTGTCTTTGAATAGAAGTTATTTTTAATTTTAATGCTATATAATTCATCAATCTGTTCTTTCTATGGATCATGGTTTTGGTGTGGTAGTTAAAAAATCTTTGGCTATCTAAACGTCACAAAGGTTTTTGTTAATGTTTTCTTCTAAAAGTTTTATGGTTTTAGATTTCATACTTTGGTATATGATCCATTTGGAATTATTTTTTGTATGTTGTATAGATATGTTATTTTTCTGCATATGATTAATTATTACAGCAGTATTTGTTGAAAAATCTTTTCCTACTACTTTGCCTTTGTGCATCTGTGAAAAATCAGTAGAACATGTGTGGTCAACCATGTGTGGGTTTATTTCTGGACTCTGTATTCTGTTCCACTGATCTACTTGTCTAACTTTACACTAATACCACAATGTTGTGATTACTCAATAGTTTTAATAATTCTTGAAAACAATAGTATTAGCCCTTCAAATCTGTTCTTTGTCAAATTGTTTCGACTATTCTAAGTCCTTTAAATTTTTATATGAATTTTCTGGTCAGCTTGTCAATTTCTATAATAAGATCCTATTGGGGATTTTATTGGGATTGTATTGAAGCCATAGAACAATTCAAGAAAAAACAACATCTTAAAAATATTGATCCTTCTAACTCAGGAACAATGTATATTTCTCTAATTATGTATATTATGTAATTTATGTATGTGTGTAATCTATATATAATATGTAATCTATCTATATATGTAATTACATACATCTCTCTAACAATGTATAGATCCCTAATTATTTCTACTATCTTATTAATTTCTCTCATAACTACTATGTAGTTTTCAGTCTACAGGTCTTTTTCCTTTTCTGCCAGAAATATCACTAGATAATTTATATTTTTTGATGCCATTATAAATGGTATTGTTATTTTGATTCAATTTCTGATTGTTAATTGCTAGCATATGGACATGTAATTTATTTTTGTATATTGATTTTGTATCCTGAAAAATTTCTAACTTTTTTAGTTTACGGAGAGTTTTGGCAGAGTTAACTGGATTTACATAGACCTAGAGACTAGAAGTCAATGACATATGGCCCCTCTGCCAAATATGGCCTGTGGTCTGGTTTTGTGCAGTTTGTAAGCTAAGATTTATTTATTTTTTAATATTTTTTGGAAGGTTAGTAAAAACAAAACAAAAAGAAAGATGAATAAGTAACAGAGACTGTATATGGCATGCATATTTACTATCTGGTACTTTATAGAAAAATATTTTTACTATTAGATATAATGTTAGCTATGAGTTTCTCATAAATGCCCTTTATTAGGTTTATAGACATTTCCTTCTGATTTTTAGTTTGCTAGGAGCTTTTATCCGGAATAAATGTTTGGCTTTTTTGGAAACTATTGAGAAGATCATATGATCCCTTATTTTTAGGTTGATTAATATTGTGAACTACCTCAATTTATTTTAAAATGTTAAATCAACCCTGCTAATTCTAATATTTGTGTCAGTTCTGCATCAGTTTTAAGTGATTGATTCTCCTCCTAATTATAAGTGTTTTTTTCCTGTTTCTTTGCATGCCTGGTAATATTTGATTAGATGTCACAGATTGTAAGTAGTAGGTGCTAGATATTATTTATTTCTGTAAATCTACTTGGGTCCCCCCCCCCTTTTGGATGCAGTTAAGTTACATGGGAACATTTTAATACTTTCAGGTTTCAATTTATGACTTGTTAGGTAGATCTGAAACAGTATTTTTCTATTCCCTGTGTGAGGGCCAGAAATTGTTTCCTACAATTATTTCAGATGGCTCTTACCTTGGCCTCAAGTGTGTGTTTACACACACACGTGGTAATAAGTATTTTGGAATATTCAGGGAGGAATATCCTTTGCAGATCTCTTAGGTTCTCTGCATATAGTTCTCTCTGGTACTCTCTTCTATGAACTCTAGCTGTATAGGTTTTCCTGAAGACTTAGCTCAATTTCTTCCACTCAGAGAGTCTATCAACCCCTGCTTTAGTTCTCTGTCTATGTGCCATGGCCTGAAAACTCTCTCAATGTAGTAAGAGAGTTAGCAATTATAGGGCTAACTTTGTTTTTTTGCTGTTTCTCTGAGAACACAGCCCTTTGTTGTATAATGGCCAGTGTCTTAAAAACTGTTGCTTTATATATCTTGTCTGTTTTCTTTTTTTGGTTGTTGTTTTAGTTGGTAGAGTATATTGGTGCCTATTACCAAGCCAAGAGTGATATGACAATATCCTGTTAAGCTTTTGAAAGGCCCATAAGCAATCTGTTATGTACATGATTTGTTTGAACTCAAAAACCTGGCTTATTCAAAGCAACATGTTGTTCCACTGCACCATGAGCCTATTATTCATTATTATTAATATTATACATTATTATTATTAATTATAACCTCTATTAATTATTTTTCTCTTTCACTTTCAAATTCAGTGATTAGTCTCCTCAACAGAAATGATGGCAACAAATAAGTGTCAGCAGTTCTGCGATTTATCTTGTATTTGTAAAAATTGTATTTTGCCTCAGGCTTTAAGGTTATGAATTTGTCATTTTTATTTTTGCTTCTGAGAAGCAGTAGAAGAAAACACACACACACACATATATATATATACACACTTCTATCTATCCATAGTAATCTTGGCTTATCTCAGTTCCTTTTGTCAATCCTGTATAGTTATTCTTTGTCTTTGTTTTTATATTTTGTACATTTTATTTTTAAATTTTTGTTTGTTGAGGAGTTGAGTTATTAATTGTCTTTATATTTTTTCTTGTACAGATCCACTGGGATTAGAGTTCTAGAATTTCATTTTTGGAGTCTCCCTTTAGGCTTAAGCCTTATATTTCCATTTACATATGCAATTATAAATGAGACAATTAAAAACTTTCTGGTTATTTTATTAAGGTAATATACTTTTACCATCATTCTTAATCATTTTTTCATTCCACTTGTATTGTATTAGAGAAACAAATGCCAACCATTTTGTGTTCCAGTATTTAGATATTACTGTGGCAATGTAGTTATATTATCTCTTTTTTTACTTAAAATCTCATTCTTTTTCACTCTAAAGTAAATATTTTATGACAGGTATAGCTCTTCATTACACAAGGCAATATTCTATCACCATCTTCTATTTTCACATATTTCATTTGATTAGCATAGTAGAGGGAGACTTTACTTATCAAAAATATATTTGTGTCTAGTATAAGAGCCTCTTCCTTGAAACCATTGTTAACATTAATTTCAGTTTAAAATATTTTTAAAAGATAAATAACTTACGCAGGTCCATAGTTGCATACAAACAGTGCTCTAAGGGTAGGACAATTTTCAACTGCACAACCAACTTTATATGACTTGGCCCAGACTACCTATGAGGAAAGGAACTTAAAAAATATAATATACAGAACAAATCTATGCATATAAACAGTACATTGTAGGAGTAGGTATAATCTTTGTCATGCTAACAACAAAAAGAATATACATAAATATTTATTGTTATTTTTTTCTAATTTCTAATATTTGGTTTAAAATGATTTTTTTGTTGAGGCTATTTTCATGAGGGCTACCTAACTAGTTTTGCCTCATTGATAATTCTCATAAATCAAAAGAACAATATAATATAAAGCCAAAATCATAGTATAAAATGTAGACAAAATTATAGGATGTTCTAGATGATTTGTGAAATATATTTTAATTCTCTCCATGGGCATATCATATTAAAATAATAGTATACATAAAAATGATAACTTTTATTTGTTTTTCTCAGAAGAATCCTGCATAATTTGTGATTATATTTTTAATTTTCTGGTATTAACTATATTCTCACCTGTGTCAAGTCACAAGAGACAGGTAGGAATTAAGAATATATTGAGTTGATTAGAAAAATGCATGCCATGAATATGGTGAATATTTTTATCTAGTTGCAAAGGATAGCGAATTTATTCAAAAGAGTGAAGACTCCTATGGAGAACTAGCCATAGGAGAGAGATAAAGAGGTGAAGATCATTAGTAGTCCTTTGTGATAATGACAAAATAAAATTTTTCTTCATTTTTCCAAATGAACAAATGGAAAATACTGATTTACTCTATCTAAAAAATAACCCAAGGAAATTTGATACAGAATAGATTTTTGACAACAGAAATAAATTTTCTCAACTCATTTATTTTATGACTCTATTAGCAAAATGTATTAACCTAAACTATGTATTAGTCATTTTTTTCCATGGCCTTGTTATAGACAAAATCAATAATTTTGCAAAATATATTTTAATGGCTCTTCGGTTGCCTGAGAGGCAGCAAAGTGCAATAAAAAGCACAGTGAACTGAGATGTAGAAATGAGCTTTGCTTCCAGCCATTTGTGTAGCTTTGGAGAGTGACATATCAATTCAGAGCTAGTTTACCACTTAATAAAATGAGATTAAGCTAGATCATTAAAAGATGCCTTTCCTTTTGAATGTTTTTAAAAATTTATAAGCTATACAACTGCAAGTATATATATTTTCAAGAAATCATGTTTAAAAATTTTGTTCATGAATAACCAGCTATACCATGTAATTCCATTTGATTAATTTACCTAAATTAAACTTTTCTTGCTTTAAGAATGATAAATATAAATATTGACTATGTATACATTTAACATGTACTGAGTTCTGGAGATTCAGAGGGGTGGGGCATGGGAGGGGGTGGTTGATGGGAGGTGCTTGGTGGGTACAATGTGTGTTGCTTCAATGATGGATGCACTGAAGTCCCTGACTTCACTACTATTGAATATATTAATATCAGTGTAGCAAAATTGCACTTCTACCCCATGAATATGTACAAATAAAAAATGAAGTAAAAAAAAGAAAAAAAATGTACTGCTTTTATTAAAGGAATTAGATGTAGCATTAATATGAACAATGGATGTAACTCTAATAGAATATTACCAAATGATGAATGCAAAAAAATTTTATTTCATGTTGTTTAGAACATTAAGCAAGATATAATTGTTGAATTAATAAGAAGAATGAACCTATTACTAATTATTAAGCTTATTTGTAAATTAGCCAATGAAGAGTTAGCTCCCATTTCTCATGTAGCAATGCTAAAAGAGGAGGGGCATTTGGGAACAGGTTCTTTTTTCCTTACAATAAAAGAGAAGACAGGATATGTTAACATAAAGGCTGTGACTCAGCCTTGATGCCATATTAAGTATATTGTATTCTGGTTGCTATCAGGACTCTTGGCATTTGATTCATTCTCTCAATTTTCACAGCAATAGCCAAACCATATTTTTTACCGACATCTTTCCTGATATACTAGAGGATGTCCAGACTTAGAGCATCCTGTTGTTGAATAAAGAGTGAAGAGAGGGGAAAATAGAAGCTGCTGTTCTTTGTTCACTGCACCTCTGATAAAAATGATTTGCTTTCAGACACTGTATATGAATTCTATTTATACAAATGAGTAAGGTTGGAGAAGAAAGTGAGCTCTTTCTATTGCTTTAGCAGTCCATTTTAGGAGCTTAGTACCATGTCTAGGATTAAAGCTTAGCTAAAAATCGAATTCTGCTTTTCACCAAAAAGGAGTAGCAGGGACACATTTATGCTTCTACCTTGAAACAATCAAAAGAATTGAGAAAATTATAGGAAATAATGATTTTCATGCTACTGAACATTAGGCAACAAAAGATAATGCCCCTGAGAGTTAGGGCAAAAAGAAGTGTGCTGTGTAATTGTCCCAGCTTATTGCCTTGAGAGAGTTTCCAGATTATGGCTCAGGGAGGGGAATATCAGGAGAAACTTGGTAGACTCATATGGTTCAGAAAGTCTGAACTGAGAGTCCAAGGAAGCAGAAGATAGAGGGCAGAGGACTGAAGAGATGAGAATTGTACAGTGACAGGACTGTGGAGATCTGCAGAGGGTCCTCAACTATTCAGCAGAGTGCTAGTCAGAGCACGTATGTGAAGAAACTACTCCAGGCTTGGGAAAGAACAATCTAACAGAACTAGAGGAAACATATTAAGCAAACCAAAGTTATTAAATAATAATAACAAAAGAACTACAGAAAACAATACCAAGGCTTACACAAAGCCAAGAATATCCAAACTGGGAAACTTCATCATTCTCAGGGCACTGGGTGGAGTATGTGGAAGAATTCTGCCTCAGTAGTGAGAGATAATTGACTCTAAACTAAATATTGCTTTCATTCGACCTAACATATTTTAAAAGCAGGCCCCCAAAGGCTCAAATAAATTCCAGATAACTTACCTATGCTCTAGAAGACAGTTCAAGTATATTTATAGGTACACAAATAAATCCAACACCCCAAAGGGCAAAATTTACAATGTTGGGAATATAATAAAATTTTCCCAATATGATAAGAAGCAGGAAAATTTGATTCATAATGAAGTAAAGTGTAGATCCATTAAAACCAAGCCAGAGTTACCATAGATGCTAGAACTAGCAGGGAAAACATTAAAATAATCATTATAACTGTTCTATATGCTTAAAGCATATATTCTATATATATATATTTTAAGCATATATTCTATATGCTTAAAAAGCAAGATGAAAGATATATTCATTGAAGATATTTTTTAAAACCCCATGAATTAAACTTCTAATTCTAAGATTGAAAATAAACTAAATAGGATTAATAGTAGACTAAACATTATGGAAGAAAAGATTAGTGAATTTAAAGACGTAGCAATAAGACTATCTAAAATTAATCACATGGAGGAAAAAAATTCAAGAAATAAAGAAACAAGAGCATCAATTAACTGTGGAACAACTGTAAATGGCCTTCTACACACATAACTAGACCCTAGAAAGAAAGAATAGAAAAGGAGAGAAAGAAATATTTCAAGAAACAATGGCCAACATTCTCTCAAATATGATTTAACTATAGACTTATAACTCCAAGAAATCCAGTGAACTGCAGCACAAGAAACATGAAGAAAATTAAGGTAAATTATTATTAAATTCCTCAAGATCTATGATAAAGGACAAAATTTAAAGGCAGTAAGTGAAAAAAGACCCATTACATACAAAGGAGTAAATAAGAGGGTTACAGTAGAATTTTTGTTGGAAGCAATGCAAGTGACAGTGGGGTAAGCTTTTTAAGTTCAGAAAAACAAAGTCAGTATATAGAAATCTATTCCCAGTAAAAATATCTCCCAAATAAAGCTGAGATTTTCATAAATTAAAAAGAAACTGAGAAGAAAATACTAAAAATTTTGTCTTGCAATTGCAATGTGTACAAATAAGGACCAATTAATAAGATATCAAATATTTACCTGTGTATAATGTCCACAAACTTTGGTACATGATCTATTATTAAAATTATAATTTGCTACTTCTTTATGCCAACTATTAATGGCAGTTCTTGCTGTAAATCCCTTTAGTCCACCTAACCATATATTTTGTCCAACAAATTTAAATCTTTTAACGCATCCATTTGGTCTATTTAAACAGGGGTCATGCTTGAATTTACACTTCTTTGCCCATGCTAGAGCCACCTCCGCTAAACTTGCATCCCAACTCTGAAAGACAAAAATAATTTACATTGAATTGTGCATATCTGTTTGCATCAAAATTATTCTAATAATTGTAATCAATTACATTTTACTTAGATTTGTTATTTTAATAAAATATAGTTTTTCTTTGGTGTTTATTATGTTCACAGTCATTTCTTTTTAGTTCTGCTTTAGAAGCACTTATTTAATACCCACTCTGTGACAGTTCATGGTTATAGTTCCAGTAATGAGCAGATGGCTTGATCCATTAGAGACACCCAACAAATAAATCTGAATGTGATTAAAATATGTCAGAGTTCAAAGTCTAATAATTCAGAATTTCATGCAAATTTATCATAAGCAAAGAATAAATATTCATTAATAATGAAAAACAGAAAAAATTTGGAATAGAAAGAGAGGAATTTCTTCAATTTGTTCAAGGGTATCTACAAAAATCCCAGAAAACCCCTCTATGTAAAGGTTAAATATTATAGTAAAAGATTTCTCTCAAGATTGGGAAAGAAACAAGATGTCTGCCCTCTTTATTTCTATTTAACATTGTACCAAAGATTAGGTAGTATAATAGAATATATGAGCTATAAATATATCTGATAAGATACAAAATGTATAAAGATTAGAATCTATCATTTTTCACAAATGTCACTTCTGGATAGATAAAAAATTTAAATGAATAGATAAAACTATAATTAATAAGTGAAATTATCAAAGTTGCCATACACAAGAAAAATATACAAAAAATCATTTGTATTTTCATATGTATCTCTACAAATTAATAGCTTCAAAAATATCAAATATGTATAAGTGATATATAAGATCTCCACACCGAAAACTATAAAACATCACTGAAAGAAATTTTAAAATACTTAAATAAATGGACAGATATAAAATGTTCATGGACCAGAAGAATCAATATTGAAAAAAAATACTGATCTTGATATTTAATTTATTTCTAACAAAAATCCAATTGGCTTTTTTGGTAGAAATTGATTATAAAATTTATATGGAAATGCAAAGGACCGAGTATAGATAAGACAATTTTTTACAAGTAGCACAAAACTGGAGACTTTCTCTACCAGATATCAAGATTTTTCACAAAACTTTGTTAAGATATTATAGTACTAACACAAGAATAAATAGCCAAATGGAACAGAATAGAGTCCAGAAACAATTTATCATAAAAATGACAGTCTCAATGTAGTTATTATTGCCAAGTTGATTTTTTAAAAATCTTTTTATTTTGAACTAATTATAAATTCACAAGAAGTTACAAAAATAGCATAAAGGTCCTGTATACACTAATTTCCCCAATGATGATGTCTTCCTTTTTTTTTGGAGACAGTCTTACTCTGTTGTCCAGGCTACAATGCCATGGCATCAGCCTAACTCACAGCAACCTCAAACTCCTGAGCTCAAGCAACCCTCGTGCCTCAGCCTCCTGATTAGCTGGGACCACAGGTGCTCATCACCATGCCCAGCTAATTTTTTTATTTTTAGTAGAGAGGAGGTCTTGCTCTTGCTCTTGCTCAGGCTGGTCTTGAACTCCTGACCTCAAGTGATTCTCCTGCATCAGCCTCCCAGAATGCTAGGATTACAGGCGTGAACCACCGTGCCTGGCCAATGATGTGTTTTGTAACTATAGTATAATATCAAAATCAAGAAATTGACATTGGTACAATCTGTACAATCTACAGACCTTTTAAGATTTCAACAGTTTTACATGCATTCATTTGTGTGTGTATGTAGTTTTATGCAATATTATCACATGTATAAATTGAATAATCACCCCCACAATCAAAATACAAACTGTTCCATCATCAAAATGATCCCTCATGCTAACCCTTTAAAGTCATACTCAGTCACTACTTACTCCACTCTATCCATAACTCCTGGAAATCACTAATGTGTTGTCCATTTCTATAATTTTGTCATTTCAAGAATGTTATATGACTAGAATCCTACAGAATGTAACCATTTTAAGATTGGATTTTTTTCACACAGAATAGTGCTCTTGAGATACACCCATGTTGTTCTATGCATTCATAGTTTTTTCCTTTTCATTGCTGAGTAGTATTCCACGGTAAAGATGTACCACAATTTGTTTAACCTTCACTATTGATGGAAATTTGTATGTTTATGAGTTTGGACCATTGTAAATAAAGCTGCTATAAACATTTATGAATAGATTTTTGTGAAGCAATATAGTTTACCTTTTCTAGGAAAAAAGGAAAAGGAGAAAGGCCCAGGTGTGTAATTGCTGGGACATGCAGTAAGTGTATGTTTCACTTTTTTTTTTGAATAGAATTAGGGCCTACAAGTTGAATTCCATTACATGTATATATTATATGGTGGTGAAGTCTGGGATCTTGTACCCATCACCCAAAGTACAACTGAGTGTACACTGCACCCCACAGGTTATTTTCATCCCTTACCCACTCCCACCCTGGCCTCTTTTTGAGTCTCCAATGTTCATTATACCACTCTGTGTGTCCTTAATGGCCACAGTTTAGCTCCCACTTGTAAGTTAGAACATGCAGCTTTTATTTGTATGTTCCTGAGTTACTTCCTTTAGGATAATAGCCTCCATTTCAATCCACATTGCTGCAAAAGACATTACTTCCTTCTTTTTATGGCTATGTAGTACTCCATGGTGTGTATGAGTGTGTGTGTGTACGTGTATGTACACACACATATGACATTTTCTTTATCCACTCATTGGTTGATGGGCACTTAGTTTGATTCCATATCTTTGTGATTGCAAATTATGTTTCAATAAAGCAGTGAGTGCAGATTTCTTTCAATATAATGATGTCTTTTCCTTTGAGTAGATACCCAGTAGTGGGATTGCAGGATCAAATAGTAGACCTACTTTTAGTTCTTTGATAAATCTCCATACTGATCTCCATAGAGGTTGTATTATTTACATTCCTGCCAATAGTGTGTGTGTGTGTTCTGCTTTCACTGCATCTATACCAACATCTATTTTTTCTCTACTTTTTAATAATGCCCATTCTAATTAGAGAAAGTTGGCATACCATTGTGGTTTTAATTTACATTTATCTGATGATTAGTGATGTTGAGCATTTTTTCATGTTTTTTGGCCATTTGTGTATCTTTTGAAAAATGCCTGTTCATATCATTTACTCAGTTTTTAACAGACTTGTTTGTTTGTTTCTTTCTGAGTTGTTGCATTCCTTGTAGATTCTAGATGGTAGTCTTTTGTTAGATACATAGTTTGTGAATACTTTTTCCCATTCTGTAGGTTTTCTATTTACTCTTTTGATTATTTTCTTTGCTGTGCTGAAGGTTTTTAGTTTAATTAAGACCCATTTGTCTATTTTTATTTTTGTTGCATTTGATTTTGGGGTCTTAGTCATAAATTCTTTACCTAGGCCAATATCCATAAGTGTTTTTCCTAGGTTTTCATCTAGGATTTTTTTTTTTTTTTTTTTTTTTTTTTTTTCTCACTTTGTTGCCCAGGCTAGAGTGAGTGCCGTGGCGTCAGCCTAGCTCACAGCAACCTCAAACTCCTGGGCTCGAGTGATCCTTCTGCCTCAGCCTCCCGGGTAGCTGGGACTACAGGCATGCGCCACCATGCCCGGCTAATTTTTTATATATATATCAGTTGGCCAATTAATTTCTTTCTATTTATAGTAGAGACGGGGTCTCGCTCTTGCTCAGGCTGGTTTCGAACTCCTGACCTTGAGCAATCCGCCCGCCTCGGCCTCCCAAGAGCTAGGATTACAGGCGTGAGCCACAGCGCCCGGCCTTCATCTAGGATTTTTATCATTTCACCACATCTTACATTTAAGTCTTTACTTCATCCTGAGTTAATTGATGGTATCCAGTTTCATCATTTTGCATGTGGTTATCCAATTTTTCCAGAACCATTATTTATTGAATAATGTGTTCTTTCCCCAGTGTATGTTTTTATCTGCTTTGTTGAAGATCAGTGGTTATAGATATATTATTTCTGGGTTTTCTGCTCTGTTACATTGTTACTTTTATGCCAGTACCATGAAGTTTTGGTTACTATGCCCTTGTAGTATAATTTGAAGTCAGGTAATGCAATAACTATTGTGGCATTCTTTTTGTTTAGGATTGCTTTGGAAATTTGGGATTTTTTTGCCTCCGTATTAATTTTAGAATTTTTTTTTATTCTGTGAAAAATTGGTATTTTAGTAGGAACTACATTTTATCTTTAAATTGCTTTGGACAGCATGGCCATTTTAACAATTTTAATTCTTCCAAACCATGAGCATGGGATGTTTTTTATTAGTTTTTATTGTTTATGATTTCTTTAAACAGTGATTTGTTGTTATTTGTATAGAGATCTTTTACCTTCTTGGTTAAATATATTCCTAGTTATTTTTTTTCTGCTATTGTAAATGGGATTGAGTTCTTGATTTGGGTCTCAGCTTGGTCACATTGTTGTATAGTAATGCTACTGAATTTTGTATGCTGATTTTACAACCTGATAATTTGTTGAATTCATTTATTAAATCTAGGAGTCTTTTGGAGAAGTCCTTAGGGTTTTCTAGGTATAAGATCATATCATCAGCAAACAGAAATAATCTGACTTCCTTTTTTCCAATTTGGATGCCTTTTATTTCCTTCTCTTGCCTGATTGCTCTGGCTAGGACTTCTACTACTATGTGAAATAGAAGTAGTAAAAATGGGTATTTTTGTCTTGTTCTAGTTCTTAGGAAGTATGCTTTTGATTTTTCCCCATCCAATATTATGTTAGCAATGGGTTTGGCATATGTGGTTTTTATTATTTTGAGGTATGTCACTTGTATGCCAAGTTTTTTGAGGGTTTTTATCATGAAAGGATGCTAAGTTTTATTGAATGCCTTTTCCACATCTATTTTGGTTTTTAGTTCAGTTTATATGGGGAATCACATTTATTGACTTATGTATGTCAAACCATACTTGCATTCCTGGGATGAAACCCACTTGATTATTGTGAATTATCTTTTTGATAGGCTGTTGGATTCAGTTTCCTAGTA